GTTTCATTCTTAGTCTGTTTAAATCGCATATGGTCCTCTGGAAGCATGTGCCTGAGGACACATGTTAATGACATGTATGACTCATTTTTTGAGACAGTACTTGTGTAAACCATATGTATCGCGTAATCATGGTAGTTAAAAACTGGTGTAGTGAAGTATTTATTATATTTGTTTTTCATCTAAATCTTTATATCTAATATTTATCTATAGGCTTCCTTCGATCAGTTACCTGGCATGACTGATGAGGCAGCACACTACTGTATTAAACAATATTCCTGGCTTTCGATTCTGGGTCTATAGTTACAAAGATAATTACTTGTACGATTAATGGTTCAGGGCACCGAACACTCAGACTGTGAAATACTTTGCTGCCTACGCGTTTCGGTACATAGGCCGTGCCATTATCAGGAGTAATCAACGTGCGAATGAATGCTTGAGTGCAGATATTCAACAAGCGAACAATATTTACAACCAAAATGCTGAAACGAACGGTTAGAGTGTTGCCAAACAAACCAGTATAAGGTCCTCAGTAAAACGATTTTATCAATATTCAACCGTCTCCCGTCTTTCGTTAATAACCAAAGAAGGTGTACATTGGTAAGACTAACCGAAAATTGAATATCATGATAAAATGATCCTTTCTGCGGTCCGTCTTGGACAGGCTGACAATTCCGATATTGCCCAACATGCAATTACTAAAGGGCATTCTTTCAGTCAGACTAATGTGTCTGTTACGCAAGCAATGAAAAAGCGGATGTACAATGAATACACATGCGCCCTAAATCGCTCAAATACTTATCTTTGCTGCTGTTGTTCTCAAATGTTTATTGAAAGACAGACATACCAGTGAAGGGCATTCAGAGCTGTACCTGCTCTAACGACTGAACGTTAAAATGAAAGCTTCATGAAAATATTGACATCCTACATGCCTGGTGTCACTATACAACAGTACCGTTTGCTTATTATTCAACCGAAAGGCAATCGATCGATCAGTTAAAGTAATTCCGCTCATATCTTTCTTTTATTTTTGATCATTTTGTGCTGATTGAAAAATTGTTTCAAATCAGTTGAAGTTGGTTGATAACGATCACAAGGTCTTGTTACCCATTACCTCCTACCGCTATTAACTGTACTTGACTATGAAAGCCAACCAATTGAAGCACTTGAAAATATAAAGAATCGTTTCTTACCGTTAGAATGAGCATTGTTGCTGTCAAGTTATCACAGGCTTCCAAAATTTGCATTTACGAATATGCACTGAAATGAATTTGTCATATCGAGAATATGCGAGTGACGCTGCATGCCTGCCCTACCCAGCATCAAACTCAGAAAGATAAAATATTTGGAAATTAGCAAGCATTTAGTCATCACATTGATGTTTCAGCGAGTCAGTGCACGGTACAATGTGGCAACCACAGTGAATGACAGTTCTATACGCTGAATTGATGCATTAACAACATTTTATATACGTACATTTGTACCATCCGCACGCAACGTACAACTTTTATAATGAGAAAATATACATGCATAAATATGCATATAAATTATAATGCATCCGGATCTAGTAAACTGTACGATAAAATAACGCTAAACCAACAAGTCCGTTCGCGCTCTTTTCAACAACGACACGCTACTGACCATCGTACCACTGGGCTCAGCAAGCGGAACTTAGGAAACCTCAGCACCGCCTGTATTCAAGCTTTAATCACAGACAAACAACTCTGACAATATCTCTGCTGTTCGCAACGCGCCGGCTCCGTGGATGAACGAGTCGTGATCCCCTTCGACACTATGGACTTGCACTTTACCAGTTACAACCTGAAAATGTAAATCTCTTAAATTTGAATCACCAGTAAAGTTTTTATATATGTGCATTTTTGAAATTCGTTAAATGTTATACATTATACCCATAAGGGCCTTCAGTTGGGTGCTGTTGCATTCAATGACGATTTATAGATATCTCAGCGATCCCTTATAGTGA